GCCATCGACTGAATGACCGTGAGATCATCATCATGCCGGTGTAATCGCAAAGGCAGGCCCATCACGAAGCGCAAACTTTTTAACTATCGCTACCAAAACTTTCTCCTCCGACTCCACAATGAAATCAATATTCCGGGCACTTGACCGCGGTTGGTGCCGGGGCTTCGCAGCGGCGAGGACCAAGTTCGGCGAAATCTTCGGCAAACTTTTTACACGCTGCAGTACAGCAGTGTGTCGCTATGGTCGAGGGGAGTACGGAGGGGATCGGGCGTGCTCTCGTTAAATAAGAAGATGTCCGCCCGGGGCCGCGGCGGTGGACAGTACAGCCCGCCTGTCCGCCAGCATCCATGGTCCACGGTCACGGTCAGGAGAGGAGGGGGGGGCAGGGGTCTACAGCCGGCTGTAGAGATAAGGAAACGAGAGGAAAGGGGACGGGAGGGGTGAGCAGAACAAACGCGAAAGAAACATGAGAAAGAACACAAAAAAGAATAGGGAGAAAAGGATTGACGGCCAATAGGGAATCAACTCTCTCAGCTCAGACGGCAACCAGGTCCACTCCGTCCGCAAAGGGTCGCGGCCGCCGGCGGGACCAGGACCGCCCGCGGGGGCAGCAGTTCTGAGACACGGGACAGCAAGAGCGGGCCCCCTGTGAGGTCCTCAGGACGACTAGAGCACGGCGACAACGCGCTCGCCTGCGGTGCGGAGAGAGAGAGAGAGAGAGAGAGAGAGAGAGAGAGAGAGAGAGAGATCATTGCTGATAAGCTCACAGCCCTCCCCCGCCCCCGGCCCGGGCACGTGGGCCCAACCACTAGACGGCCTCGCTGGAGGTCGACAGGAAGGCCGAGGAGGCGGTAAACCTCCCCTGCATAACTCATTGCAGCCGTCAGTCGTCATCCGCAGGAGTGCTGCTGCTGTTGCTGCTGCACCTGCCTCGCCACGGCTCGCTCGCCCCCACCGCTGCTTTAAGCTCGCAAATATATCGCTCTACGGCGACAGCGCTTTCCGTGGAGGAAGCTTCAGTGTTTTATTCAAGCGGGGGACTCGTATCGGGAAAACAAAGAGATGTAGCGGCGTTGTGAGCGAGCATCCGCTACGGGTGAATTATGGATCTGGGAGCGGACCGCCGGTAAGTGCAGCAGTCTGGGGCTGGGGGCGGG